GTTCCATTTCTTTCTTAACAATTTCTAATTTTCCTACATTCATGGTTCTCACATACCATGTTCCAGTCACTAGAGTCTGCTTACAACTGTTCCTCTTCCTTTGTATTTCCATACTTGAAAGTTCTACCTCGGTTGCCCTTTCTGTTAGTCTACGTGTGTTCTGTTGTACATAGGGTTTTCAGAGGCCTGCTATTTCAGAAGTCGATGGCCAATCCTTCTTCCTAGTCTGTCTTAATCTGAATGTTGAGATTTAGAGGAGTATCTGACAGAGAAGCAATTTGTGGAGCAGTGAAAGATAAATCCCTCATTGTGGAGTTAACCATTAGTTACAGTGTTCACCCTGCCCTTAGCCCAGTGCCTTGACCCACTTATTTCCCAGCTCCACCCTTCACTAGGATACTCTTTCACATCTGCCAAATCCCTTCAGAAATTATCTTTCATTGTCCAACCCATGATCTGACAGGTCGTATCTGAAGCTTTCTTGGCTTCTGTGATTCCAAACATGTCAACTGCTGACAATTTTTTTTTTATGCTGTGACCAGTGTCTCTTTAGTTGTACGGTCTCTAAGGGAAGGTGACATGTCCTGTAGAACTCCCATGTAGACTGTATTTTCTTCTTGGCCCGAGGGCCTGTGGCCCTCAGGTCCTACAGAGCAGAAATTTGATGCAGAGCATGGAAATGTCAATAGAGAACTCTACCATCTCAACTTTGAATTTGGAGGGATAAGAATTAAAAAAAAATTATTTATAATATGGACTTGTAGAATATATTCTTTTCCTGTATTATAAGATAATAAGATTGGTTCAGGATAGAGCAGGGTTTAGGACTGTTGTACATAGGGTTGCTATGAGTTGCAGGCAACTCGATGACACACAACAACAACAACAACAACAACGACAACGACAAGAGATGGTTAAAAGATGGTATCTGTTTGTCTATTAGGTGAATTTTCACGACAGCTTGATGAAAAAGAGGCGCTGGTGTCTCAGTTATCCAGAGGCAAACAAGCATTTACCCAACAGATTGAGGAGCTAAAGAGGCAACTTGAAGAGGAATCAAAGGTAGCCATCATTAGAAGACTCATTTCCCCTGGCCCTTACCCCTCCATACACTAACTTTTAATAAGAATGTTAAACTTAGAAATGAAATATGTAAATATCTAGTTAATGATGATATAATCATTTCCACAGGCCAAAAACGCCCTGGCCCACGCCCTGCAGTCCTCCCGCCATGACTGTGACCTGCTGCGGGAACAGTATGAGGAGGAGCAGGAATCCAAGGCTGAGCTGCAGAGGGCGCTGTCCAAGGCCAACAGTGAGGTTGCCCAGTGGAGGACCAAATACGAGACGGACGCCATCCAGCGCACGGAGGAGCTGGAGGAGGCCAAGTATGTGCATATATGCATGAGGGACTGCAGAAGATCAAATCAGAAAGATACCTCTGATGGTTCAGTCAGCTGGTTCACGAGTGCCCCTTAAGTAATTTTTATTTTCCAATGCTCTACGCCTTCTCTGAAGGACCTTTGATGATGTTATTGTTGTGTACTGTTGACTCAGAATCAACTCTTAGCTGACTGTCCAGTGGGTTTTCAGAGGCAGTAATCACACAGGAGGAGATTACTCATCTTTCTCCCATACAGCAGTTGGTGGATTTGAACCACGTGTCTTGGGAATTGCAGGGCAGCTTCTTACCACTAGGCCACCAGGGTTCATTACATGTTGTGGTACTAACTGGAAGTACTAAATGAAAGATCAGGGGTTCAGATCCATCAGTGTTCTAAGGGAGAAAGAAAGCAGTTTTCTCCCATTAAGATTTACAACATTGAAACAGATGAGGGAGGAAACTGTTTAACAGGGATATATGATTAGGTATTATTGTCATGACAGGAGTCTGGATCAAAGGCTGCAGAGTGGTGTGGCCTTCAGGGGAGGGATTGTATAACAATGAAATGATTTTTCTTTTACTTTTCAAAGAGAAGAACGAACTGGGTGGAGAGGGTGAGCAGGAAGAAAAGTGCAACAATGAATGAATGGAAGGAAATCCAAAGTCTCTGTAAATTTTCAATAATAATAATAAATAATAATAATTTACAGCCTCAGAAACTTGGAGCCAGGATCCATTCAACAGCAGTGAGCTCTTATTTCATACACTGAAGTGTCCTAGTGTAATGGTTAAGCATTAGATTGCGAGCCTGACACCTGAGGGGTCAGCTATTCAAATCCACCACCCACTCCCTGGGAAAGCGATAAGATAGCTTCTATTAAGATTCAGGGCCTCAAAAACCCTGCGGAGCTGTTCTATTCTTGTCATCAAAAGAATCAATGCGAGTTGGCAGAGTTGGCATCAATTCCATTGCAACAGGTCTTTTGTTTATCATACACTGATAATAAGTCATGAAAAATTTAAGTATGGTCTTTGTCTTATAGGCCTAAAACCTAGTTAAGGAAACAAAGACTAACAAATGACTGTGCAGGTAGAGGTCTTATTGCTGTTTGTTCAACATGCCAAGTTCATGGCTGTCTCAGAATTCTGCACCACCTGCTCCCTCTGCTAGGGGCCCTGGTGGCATAGTGGGTTAAGTGGAAGATTGTTACTAAAAAAGTGCATAGTACAAATCTATGAACCAATCCTCAGGAGAAGGAGGAGGCAGTCCACTCCCATCAGGACTTACAGCCTCTGGAAAGCAACGGGCAGTTCTGCTCTGTCCTGCAAGTTTGTAGGGAGTTGGGAGAGACTCAATGGCAGTGCAATTGCCTTTACTGGTTTGCCTCCCTCTGCCCAGAACATGCCTCTTCCATATTTCCTTCTGGCTCACATTCTGACTTCTATTTGGAAAGGGGAGACTCTCCCTGAATATCAGGGTAGTTGTGCATCTTTCTTCTGATTTAATTTGTTTTCATCGCACTTACATCTTCAGTATGCTATCTGTGTATTTGCTTCCTAGCTGTTTCTCACTCTTCCTATTTGGTATGGTTCAAGTGGCAAGTTCTGTGTTTTGTTCACTGCTGGGTACCCAGGAGTACATAAAAGGGGTGCATCAAGATTTGCTGCATGAATGAATGCATAGTATCAATTTGGCAAGCCCAAAGTTTCAATGTGGTAATAGTTCACAAGCCCTGTTTTGCTTGACATCTCTCTAAAAATGTCCATCCTTTTCTTTTTCATTTTTTCAGTTTATTTTAACAAAAGTTTAGAGACATTGGATTTCCATTCATTCCCCCCACCATTTGCCCTTCTCTTAAAAAAATGCTTTCATTGTTGTTCAATCCCCCTCAAATCCACTCCACCAAGCCACCTTCATTCTGAACTCCTGTCATAACAATAACATCTAGTCATATATCCCTTTTAAATAGCTCTCTCCCTCATCAATATTTATCCCATCTTTCTCAGTCTCCCCCCAGCCCCTATGTCAGTCCTCTTAAAAATGTACATCCTTTTCAAGGAAGAAGCTGGCCCAGCGTCTGCAGGCAGCAGAGGAGCACGTTGAAGCTGTCAACGCCAAATGTGCCTCCCTTGAAAAGACGAAGCAGCGGCTGCAGAATGAGGTCGAAGACCTCATGCTCGATGTGGAAAGAACAAATGCTGCCTGTGCGGCTCTTGACAAGAAGCAAAGGAATTTCGACAAGGTGATATGTGCTGAAGCCCATGTGCCAATCATTTTCCTCTGGCCTTTACTGTCGCTAAATGCTCTGGGGGCTTTTTCAGATCCTGGCAGAATGGAAGCAGAAGTATGAGGAAACGCATGCAGAGCTTGAGGCCTCCCAGAAAGAGGCCCGGTCCCTCGGCACTGAGCTGTTCAAGATGAAGAACGCCTATGAGGAGTCCTTGGATCAGCTTGAAACCCTGAAGCGAGAGAATAAAAACTTGCAGCGTGAGTTCCTTTTGCTTTCAATGACATTCCTTCCTGGGAGGATTGTTTCTTTAATGGTATCTGGCTGACCAAACATGTACCTTTTACCCCCAATATCAGAGGAGATTTCTGACCTCACGGAGCAGATCGCTGAAGGAGGGAAACGTATCCACGAGCTAGAGAAAATAAAGAAGCAGGTGGAACAAGAAAAGTCAGAACTTCAGGCTGCATTAGAGGAAGCAGAGGTACAGGTCAAATTGTGCATTAAAAAGAAACAATGAGAAAAGAATTAGGCCCCTGCACATAGACTAAAAGACAAGACACACAGCTGCAAATTACTGAAACAAAGTGTTCAGAAAAAATTCATAATGTTAATATTTTCATTGTCTGCTAATGTCACCTCTTGGTCTCACTAAGGCATCGCTTGAACACGAAGAGGGAAAGATTATGCGCATCCAGCTTGAGTTGAACCAAGTGAAGTCTGAAATCGATAGGAAAATTGCAGAAAAAGATGAGGAAATTGACCAGCTGAAGAGGAACCAC